CATTAGAAAGGTCATATTCTCAAAGGCAATCGTAACATAAGACTTTTTTTTCTTTGGTTTTTTTAAGACTCATGGTTTTGCTTACACTGCGTGGTATCGATGAAAATAAATTGAATACTGAATAAATATAAAGTCCAGCCAACAGTTTATTTTTTTAGTTTGACTATCTTTTATTTCAATTCCAAAAATTTTTACTCGAAAAATAAGATATTCTAGTTACTTTTTTGAAAGCTTATTTTAAAACGCAAATGTGACGTTTTACACCTCCCTATATGGTACTAATAATTTCCACATTGGAGATAAAAATATCTTTCATCCATTAAGCCCTTTTTTCTTATAAATCAATTATTTTCTTCTTTATCAAAAAAAATCTCTAAATGGACATCAGATCGTACTGATGGTACTGAACACTGTGCGGCTCTACCAACGAAGTTAAATGGATAAAAAAAATGCATTAATGATGCATCCTCTTTTTCGATATATTTCTTCCACCTGGTTGAAAGATGATCTCTAGAACGTGTCCGTCGTAAACCGTTAGCGGAATCTCCCTTGCAGGTGCGGCGAAGACTACCTGTGCTCCGATAGGAATCGACTTGTGTCGCTACTTAAACAAACATCAGAAAAAAAGGCGAAAACACTGAACATCGAACAGGACCAAATGCTCCAAGAAATACGATGTCCGCATAAACGGCCATTGTGAGTGGGATCAGGTAAAGAATAAGGAGCTCCACGGAAAGAGGATTAGCTGCGAAATATATATGCAGGCGTCACTGCCAAGTTTTTTCAAATTTTAATTTCAGCATATTTGCTTTTGGTGTGTAGATGGACACTCTCCAATAAAACTCTTCGAATGAGGAATTTTAATCTTTAGTAATAATTTTTTTTATAGAGAATGCTTCTAGAGATTTCAGTATATTTTTGGTGTAACTATCACCTGAACAAGTTTTTTTGTATTAAAATTGTAGAAATGTTTCCATCATAAAGCCATACCAACTTTGGGAGTGACACAACGGCTAAAAATATATTACTGTCTTAAAATATGAAATAACTCCAGGTGTATGAAAAACTTATCAGAGGTAATGCATAGAAATAATACTGTAAAATAATTAAATTAAATTGTGACTTATTGTAGCTCGATTAAACTAGTCTCACGAAAATAAAAAAAAATATAACAAATAATTGATCGAGTAAAAGAATTTTTTGTAGAATTGAATTATTACATTTTCTACTCCACCAATTTTTTCAGGTTTCTTTAAAAACAAATTTTTCTGCCCAACAAAAACCGTAAGTTGACGGAAAGGGATGAATAAGGCGAACAACTTTTACAATTTTTTGAGAGAGGTCATGGACTTTTTTTTTATTTCCCTGTAGTTTTGCAACCGCGGAGTAGAAGGAGGCGCGTGATGCGGCGAAAGCAGAGGTCCCTGCGCATGCGGGGGCTGTAAATCGTGCCGGAGTTTTCGGGGCGAATTATAAATTCAAATGCGGGGAGGTGGTGTCACGCGGTCGGAGGTGAAAATTATTCCCATTTTACCGCATGGTTCCGCCGTAAAATTCGGGCACAAAGATGAATCTGCTCTGGCTCTCGTCAGGCTTATAAATGGCCCACGAAGCAATACACGCGTAAGTCCGGCGGAAATCTCATGAAGATACGTCGTTTTTGCGTTTTAGTTACGGCGTTAAGAAAACGGAAGGGTGGCTAAAACCGCGATGCGGCGGATTAGGGTAATGTGGGCGGTTTTCGGCAAGGTAAACTGAACTATTTGTGTTGAAAAAAGAAATAAAATGGCTTTACTGTTGGTTTTATACGAATTGGGTAGCTGCGCATCACTAACAAGCGCATACTGATGTATATTTTGAGATGTAAGCGGTCATTTTTTTTTCTTCTTTCTTCTTTTTAAACAAAGTTTCACTTCGCTGAAAAACTTGTATTTGCTGGTGCCTCAGAAATATTCGATTGTCACATTTTCGGCTAAAACCTTAATTTTTAAAATTTACGCGGCCTTTTTTTAATGTTAATTTTTATTTTAAAAAAAATAAAACATAAATAAACCCAAAGGCAATTAAAAACCTTGATATTAACTGGATTTTGGTATTTTGTGAATGTATTAATGTAAATTCACTTTAATGTTTTCCTCGCAAGACTCAATACAAGCAGGATGCATTCACTGAAAAACACTATTGCGCTGGTAAATTTTCGAAATTTACGCGTTCACCTTCTTTTTGTAATAAGGTAAATGAACCGATGTCTGCATGACGTTTTTAAATCATATTCTTTGTAAGGTAGAGGAAACAGGATGAACTTCAAAAAAAATGTTTATAATTAGTGTTCCCTAAAAAAATAAATAAATAAATAAAATGATAAAAAAATAATAAAAAAATAATATATAATGACATCTGCAGCACTTCAATCCGAGTTGAATGTTTCGGAACGTTCGCCATCAATGTATTTCTAAATGTATAAGGAGCATTGGTCAGAAATCGGCTTGCTTCATATAGACAAGTATCATTCTATTCATAAGCAAGTTCACTAAAAACCCTCTCAGAATTGGAACGCAGCGCACACGTTCAGGAAAAGTACATAGCAGAATCAGAGAGGTCAGATGTTAGCGTACACGCAAAGGGACTCCCTCCCCACTTTTCAACCCCGCATAAAAGGTGTGGGTTTCGCCTTGCTTTTTGACCCCGCATAAAAGGTGAAGAATTTCAAACAAATCTGCTTGTAGTTCAACAGCCTTTACACGAATACCCATCAGACTTTCGAGCTTTGAGTGCTGAGGCTCCAGATAAAGGGGCATGATTGAAACATGATCGATGGGCCCTCGGGGATGGAATAAACTGAGCTTTAAGTTACATTTTTCTACCCTCGATAATCCTCCTTGAATACAGATACCTGTTTTAGCCTCCCCCGGAGTGATTTGCCCTTTTTTTGCGGTGAGAAAAACGTTTGCCCATTGGGAAAAGTCCAACTTATCGTGAAATTGACACCGTGATGTGACAAAAGGAAGAAACTTGTTCATGAGCTAACAAATTTTCACCGCGACAAAGTATTCGATTTTTTTTATTCGATTCCAACTTTTTGAGGATCTTTTAACGATACATTGAACACGCGTTTAAGTTAGCAGATTAATAGTCAAAAGTGGAAATTGTGAGAATATGTTTAGCTTTTAATGTTTTAACCTTTAAGAGAATAAAGAGAATTTACATCCCTTATTTTATTTATTTATTGTCTGAACATTGTCTATAAGAAGAAAATGATTAAACTATTGAAACAAGTTGATGAAAAATGTTCTTCTGCCAAAATTCAGAACGGATTGTATATCTGATGTAATTTTCCTGACTCTTAGCAGTATATTAATTTTTTCTCCACAGTCAAGCAAAATCTTATTTGGACGAGCAATCAAAATTTGAAAAATCGTTGAGATTTGTCCATCCTTGAATGAAGGGAAAAACATCTTTCCGGATAAAGCTCATCATGCATCATGTGGAAAAATTGCAATTATGTAGTTTTTGCAAATTTTGAAGAAGGAAACTGCATTGAATTTTCGGTTGTGACTGCATGTTCAATATTTCGGGATCTCCAATGGTTCATGATATTTCCCGAGGCTCTTTACATTCTGATTTGACACTACCTGCGTGTTGTAAAGCTTTTACACCCATACTTGTCATTCATGAACTTTCAAATAATGACTGCTTTAGTCCGACATTTCAGAACGGGACTTCATTAGTGGTTTGGAATTTCAGTGTTTAGTAAATACAAAATGTTCCCAATAATTTGGAACCATTCAAGATTCAACAGGGAAAGAAAATTTAAAGTTTTCACGGTAAGTAGTTCCAATTATCCCTGAATTTGACGATTGAGTAAAAACTGCCTTTTTCACGAATTAGGAAAATGTATTTTCTATTATTTAAAAGCCTCAACAGAGCAATTTTTACCCAACTTTTTAAAGGTGTGTTAAGTCACTGATTTCCCCAGCTTGTCCCTAACTTCCTAAAAACTGTACCGCCATTGAAATAGCATTATTCCTGTTTTTTTCTCGTTTCCCAGACGAGAGGACTTGACTCCATTTTAACATTACAAAACTGCCGCTCGCTAATTTTACGTGTACCAAGGATCTGATAGACATTCCTCGTTGAAAAATTTGCTGATTTTCTTCTGAATACCTATACGCAAAAATCAGCATAATATCGATCAGGAACTAAGCAGTCATATCTATCCAAAAAATGTAATTGTTTCGATTAATTTTTCTACCCTCCGAGATAGAGAACTCCGTTCCAATAGTTACTTTCCTGCTGTTTACTCCTGCTTTTCCTTTTGTTTTCAAGACTAAAATACGTAGCATCATTTCAACGCTGCAAACCTCCAGCTCGCAAATTTTGGGTACTTTCACCATGGAACTGATACCCAGACATTTCTCGCTGAAAAATCCGCTGATTTTCCTCTGATTAATTAAAAATCAGCACGGAAACTATAGGTAGTCTTATCTTTTCGCAAAAATTCAATTGTTTCAGTTATTACCCTCCTGGGACATTTCAGATCCTTGTAACGCCATTCAAACAGCATTAATCCTGATTTTCCCTTCGTTTTCCAGACGAAAAAACTTGACTCAATTTCAACGTTACAAAACTGCCGCTCGCAAATTTTACTTATGCACATTTCTCGCTGAAAAATTCACCGATTTTTTTTCTGATTTTACGCAAAAATCAGCATAATATTGAAGGGGAACCAGGCAGTGTTTTTACAAGAAATTTAATCGTTTCAGATAATTTTGAAACAGTTAATTCAGTTGATTTAGACATATCTCACTGAAAAATTCACCGATTTTCTTTTAATTATACGCAAAAATCAGCGTAATATCATACGGGAACTAGGCAGTCATATCTTTACGAAACATTTAATTGTTTCAGTTAATTTTGGAAACTCCATTCCAGTTGAGTTACTTTCATTCGTCTAGGAAACGAAATTTTAAGAGGGAAATGGTGAAAAGCACTGAACCTACCTGATTCTGATCTGACGGGCGACTCGGAGTGTGGCGGCTCCTCATCGGACGAAGAGCTGGAGGTGCGTAAAAAGGAGTGAATAGTCCGATGGGGGATTCGGGTCCCGTTGAACTTGGAGCTCACGGAGAAGTCCAGGGGCTGGGGCTCGGGGTCGTGGTGGGCCCGCAAACCCGCCGAGGGATGCTGGAGGAGCATCGGCATGACCTTGATGTCCGGCGGCGAGTTGTTGTTGTTATTGTTGAAGAGGTTGTTGTTGTTGTGGTGGTGCTTCTGCTCTTGGAGCTTCTGTTCCTGGAGCTTGAGTTCCTGGAGCTTCTGGTCCTGGAGGCGGCGCTGCTCCTGGAGCCAGCGGCGGACCAGGGCGGTTTGCTTCAGCTCCGCGAGGGTGGGCTGGATCCAAGGCTCCCTCAACCCAAGGGGGGCCTCCCGCTTGTCCGTGCCCTCCTCCACAGTGGCGCTTTTCCGGGCACGGGCGCAGAAACCGGAAAATCCCTTCGAGCGAGCGGCGCGACTCAGTTCGGGCGCGATCACAGGAGCCACGTCATGTCATCCTCGGCACAGTTTATCGAAAATACCCGGAGATCAACACTTAGACACATTCAAGAGTCGTGCCCTGTCCTTGGGCGCTGCTGAAATCGCCGATATCATAATTTTTAAACAAAAGAAAAAAAAAATCACCACCATTCACTGTCAACACTACAAAATTATCCTTTAAAAAGTCACCCGCGATTACAGTATTTTTCAGCAAAGTTTGACTAGAAGAATCCCGGCGCGCGCACAAGACCCGTTATCACGACACTGATAAGGATTCTTAAAATCCGAACGAAGAGGCGCAACGAGAAAAACCGCGGGAAAATCGAGGAGTGAGCACTGGGGGTGCGTTGCCGAAACGATACGGTCGGGAAAGCGGGAAAAATCGGGCGGAAAATCAAGGGGGACGAAATTGCGAGAGGTATGGAACGGTTGCGACGTGCGGCGTGGACTCGGGGCGCGCACGGTCTCGTGAGAGGAGTCGGACTGACGGGAGAGGCGGCGCGGCGCGGCGAGGCGGCGGCTTCTCCCTCCGCGGGGCCCCCACCAGGCCCAATCCACACCCCACGGCCCCTCCCCCCGCCAGCACGTTTTGCATCCGTCCTCCGCCGCGACAGGTTTCGCGCGCCTCGCCACACCCCCGCCGCGCAACGCGAGCCCGGGATGCACCGCCGGACTCGATCGTCGCCCATCAAATCTCGGCGCTTCCAGCTTTCTTCAAAGTTCAGGACGTCCAGGGATGAAATGAACGTATTTATGCTAAAAGGAACTATATGCGTAGGGTTTGCATGCGACATGATTCTTTTTAGCACGAATGGGCGGCCAGTAAAAGGCGTTTTTCAATCTCAATGTTTTGGCTGTTATAAACTTATGGTTACTATCAATTGAGAGGCTTAGAGGACAAGGCCCATAAGTGCAGTTTTCGAAAAAGATGAGATATTAATGATTTTAAGTAAAAGTAGTCTTATTGCATGCACTCAAAAAAACCTCCGGCCGTGCGAGCCGAAAGTAATGGACCCGGAGCACGGACTGTACGGGCTATATACAGCTACCGTCCGTTCCGCGTCCGGGCGCCGAACGCCCGGACCACTCCGGACGCCGAACGCCCGGACCACTCCGGACGCGCAGCCCGGAATGCTCCGGGCAGACGCTAATTTTTTTATCTAGGTACATACTTCTTTGTTAATATTTCATGACAATTTAATTTCAGGAATGTAATGGATGCATCACTGACTGAGAAAGATTCAGATCAGATTCAGATTTCATTTATTAATAAAGAAAATAAATGAAATCTGAATCTGATCTGAATCTTTCTCAGTCAGTGATGTATCCATCACATTCCTGAAATTAAATTGTTATGAACTATTAACAAAGAAGTATATACCTATTTTAAAAAAAAAAGAAAGAAAGAAAAGGAGCATATGAACGTTAGCTTGTTGATCATGTTTGAGATATCAAGAGAGATTTGAACTTCTTGGCTGATAGTTCAGCAAGTTTGAGAAAAGAGATAAGTAATTCTCTTATTGAGTAAGCAAAGCAGCACATGAATGTTAGCTTATTCATCTTGTAAAAAAATCGAGAGAGATTTTCAAAAACCTAACTTTAATGTTGCAAGCCTTCCTAGAAAAAAATAAAGCACTCTGATTTTTAGATACCAGAATGAACTTGGCTTGGAAGTATTCGGCTGATTTTTAACTTTGCAAAATATACCTTGGAATTTATTTTTAGGGCAAAGATGAGTAAAGTTCATAGATTTGAAACAGTTGCCTATTGCTTACTAAGTCTGTGAAATACTTGTCAATGTTTCATGGATAAAACAAACAAAAAATTGGAAAATTATTCCTCTCAGCCATCAATATTCAATTAACTGGGTACAACGTTATGGAAATAGTCCAACCACTGAGACATGAAGGAACAAATTTAGATGGATCAAAAATTCTTGCTACCTATTTTAGTTGTAGAATAGACTGCCGAAGGTGATAAATTTCTAAAACTCATTGCAGCGAAAATGCAAACTGAAAAATCATTTTTATCACTTGGCAGCCCGTTCTCAATAAATGTAATTACTTTCACTCGATGAGAATTCAGAATTTGTCAAAAACAAGAAATCCCTCGATAAAAAATACGAATGCAAAGTAGGAAATCACCTAAATGATTAACAAAGGAAAACCACTGGCGTAGGTCTAGGTACTTACTTACAGATTTTTACTTCTTACGACTAGAAGAGCTTCAGAATCTTGAAAATGAGGTTGAGACTATTTCAAGGTGTAAATTCAGTAGTAAAAGTTGACAAAACTTCAAGATATAACTCTCCGCAATAACTACCGGATACAATTTCCACAAAATATTAGCGAAGAAATATACCACCGAAAATTGTCACACTTGTTAAAATTATAGATCTTCCCTTCAGCAAACTGAAGCGCGATTCACACAGGATTTTACCACTATTACAGTAACACTGAGCTCCCTAGAATTGGGATATGGAATCAGAGAGATTATTCACGGTAACAACGTTTGAGCTTGCTCTCACTATTAGATAATTTGCGCAGGATAGGTTCTACATTTTACGGGTACAGTTTCCGCTATCAAACAGCTGTTTTTGTAACAGAGAGGGGAGATGTCAGAGACTGCAATACTACTCACAGTTGAAAACATTTATGAGTTAGAGATTAGATCGAAATGGAATAAAAACTGTATCCTCTTACACAGGCAGAACAAAGCAATTAAGTGACAGAATATAGTTCGGAATGAATGGACATTCTCGTGCCTACATTATCAGTATTTTAGTGTGGCGATAATTTACTCTGTGGGAAGATGCGTGGCAGGTAATTGATTCCTTTTCTTTGATTTAAGTTCTTTCCCTTAGTAGGGGGAAAATAAGTGAATTGCAAACGAACTTACAGGAGAGGGTATGAGCTCAGTGTACTGGTACCAAAACTGACAATTTTAACTTCATTCCCGTCGCATTTCTGGAAGTATTTGACAAGCGTTATCACACAGAACTTTAGAATCAATCGTGCACCACACAGAATCAAGAAAATAGATTGAAAACCTCCAAAATTAAACGAAAAACGAACACACGTAATGAGCGGTGACCAGCAATGACAAAGCTATTTAGAGACTAACCTCAATAAACAACGCTGAGTGGTGGCTTCGATCGCTCCCGAATATGTCGAAGGCTGGCGGCAACTTTAAATTCACGCACTGAATAAAATTGAAGTAAAACATTATAATTTTCTGCGAATTTGCACCGGGCCGTCTCAATTTTAATCCGATGGCGACGCCATTTTCCCGAACACTGAGTAACGGACTATCGGACTCCGGCCGGGCGGGTCGAAAATTCCGACCGTGGAAGCCGGAGCTTCCGGCTGGGCAGTAACCGATCGACCGACCTCGGAGCCCGTAGCACCCCTGGCGGACTCCGGCTGCTGTGCCCAGAAATTACGTTTTCACGACCCGGTAACATCGGAGTCACCAACATCGAGAACAACCGGGTCCAGTCGCCGGAGTTTTTTTTTTGAGTGTGCTTCGTGGAAAATTCGCTCTCAAATTACAATTATTAGGCGTCAAAAAGACAGCTTGAACTTTCTTTTCATCAGAAGGATCCATGTAATTTGAAAACTTCAGACACGTATTTATCGAAACAGCAATAACTGCACTTATGCGCCTTGTCCTACAGGCCCCTCAATTATCCTCAACTGATAAAAAAAAAGACACTACTAACACAGCTCATTACTAGTGGCGCGAGGCGTGAATGATTTCTCCCATTTGATGCTATGGTGAAAAATCGATTATTAAGTTGTTCGTCGGTCATCCCGTTTTTCGATCATTTTCCGTAGGTTTAAATGACATGTAGATGAATCGATTTATCGCAAAACACGTCACGCCACTGCTTATTACGCACTCTCAGATGAAGCAATACAATTTTTACGTGAAAATTCTGTATCTTTAGCTACATTTTTTGACTCCTAACTACAGATACACGTTCGTTTCCTCGTGAGATACGTTTCATTGCCTCGGCGGATTGGCGTCAACGAGGCTGAATGATTAAGCTATCACGAACGTGTGCTATCTCTCAAAATTCACACCAAATGTGGCAGCCACGACCACAGAACCGCCAAAGCAATTAGAATCAGAGGTGGCGGCGCCAAAGAGTGAATCAGCTTACTCCTGCCGGAGGGTAACTTCCCTCCCACCGTTGCCTAAGTAGGGAAAAGGCATTCCTCCACAGAGCAGATTAGTTTCGATACGAATGCAAGGTTAGGATTCTCCGTTATCCTATACATATTCTTATAGAACATATTAAGTCGACGGGAAGAAAGGCGAATCTCTGATATTAGCATCACAGCTTGTTTCGTATAGTTACTACGTTGTTTTCGTCCTTTCGTCATCATTTACCTATAGATCTGTGCAGGGTCGGACTGACTCGCATCTGAGGGCGTAGACCCTTGGCTGGTTAAAAAGGAAATATCCTGGTAGGGAATCTACCCTATACGTGGAGAGGGGTTCAGAAAATTTTGGCAAAGTAGCCCAAGTTTCCGCTACTTTCAGGCTCAAGGTTTCTTGATCGGACAGAGTAAAATTTGCAAAATTGAACGTGTTGAAGTAACCGATGGACTATGAAATTAAAGAAAACATAAAAAATTAAAGCCACTAAACTCATCCAAGCACCATTATTTCCGAAAGAAACGAGCCAGTGCTGCGGTTTACACGAGCTTGAGATGTGGGTCTGCAAATTCATCCTAAAAAAGAATCAGACGAAGAAAAAACGAGTATCAACACAGCCGAAGACATGCAAGAAAGACGTACAGAGAGCCCACGTTTCGCGTCATCGCGCCTTCAATTTTTCAGATGCAGCACGGACATCCATCAAGTACGAATAGTTGTATCTCTGCGCCGTCGTAAACGCGCATCCTTTCCCTCCCTCTATCTCCATAATGTGTTCGTTTCTATTTGTGTTATTTGTAATGGTGCTTCAAGCACTACGTGAGTAACACAGCCGAAGGTAGGAGAGATGTATTCGGGTGTATTTTCTAACTTTTCTCCCGAATCTGAGCGACACCTCATTGACAGCATACAGCAAAGCATTGAGAACTCACGCTTCGCGTCATCGCGCCTTCAATTTTTCAGATGCAGCACGGACGTCCATCACGTACGAATAGTTGTATCTCTGCGCCGTCGTAAACGCGCATCCTTTCCCTCCCTCTATTTTCATATTGTGTTTGTTTCCGTTTGTGTTATTCGTAAGGTTCTTCAAAATAGTAGCATAGAGCAGAGCATTGCGAGTTCACGACTTACGCCATAGCGTCCGACATTTTTCATAATGCAAGGTGAACATCCATCTTGCGCGAAAATGTTTGATTGAAATTTTGTGCCGGAGTCAGAAAATTTCATGGAAAAAAAAAATCTTGTAATTTCAAGTGAAATATTTCATGAACTTTCAGAAATTTATGGAAGATATAGAAAAAATACCGGTTCCTTTTCGTGTTTCGCAAAATATAAAAATTGCGACTTTCTTCTATTTTTGTATGTTTGAGTGCGAGCTGCATACTCTGGCCCCTGAAAAAATATGAAATATTTCACAGCCTCGTGAAATTTCATGAATTATTCCGTTGAAATTTCCAATCTGTCATCTCTTTCTTACGTTTCGTGCCACCCTGGCCGGACTCTATAAAGCGTCCAAAAAGCCCCGAATGATATGAATGCAGAGAGGAATCTATACTCCTTTCGAAGAGACTAACACCACGGAGAGAAATCCACTCTTTTTGTGGAGAGTCATACGCGTTTACGGTGTTAA